CTACATTTTATGTTTTATACTAGACCCGAAGACCCATTTGGACCACTTGGATCCGCGCCTAGAAAATGGGTAGGGTGAATGTCCTCTCTTGTGTCCTTTTCATGTGATCACACTTTTATTTTTTTAAAACGTACCATACTTTTCCTTAATTTATTTTGATTTTGTTTCTTTTTATACATATTTAATTTTTTTCCATAATATACATTTTTGGCCCATTATTAATTCCTAAAATTATTTTTATCTCCTTGATCTTTGATTTGAGTTTTGTATTTTAAATTAAACTTTCCTTTTAATTTCAAACTATTTTAAATTTATTTTGTTTTAAAAAATATCCCTCGATTCCATAAATCTGAGAGGCCACTTCTTTTCATTTTGTTTCCTTTTTAAAGTAAATTCGTCTTGAAGGTTACTAATTTATTCTAGCCGGCTATTTATTTGATTTTGATTTGACTCTTTTGTTCCTTAATATGCGCGAGTTGCACTTTTTTCCCATGTTTGTACTTTCTTTTTCTATTTTCTTCTACTTTGTTTCATTTTATTTGTTTAGTACCTTGACATTTTAGGCAATTTTATAAAAAAAATAACCCAAAAATTAAAAAACAAAATACAACACCACCCTTTATCGAATATATACCAAATTAGTCCCATCCTGACAAGAAAGGTGGAGGAGGCTTAGGTGGACAGAAAGTGTGTCCCTTGGTGTGCGCTTTCCAGGAAAAATGTTGACATGGAAAACACGTGTTAGACATGTTTCATAGGGAGAGCCTTTCAAATAAAAATCACTCGATTTTAAGGTTAGGATGGATGAGCGGGTTAGGTTTTATTAGGTTAAGTGGTTTAGGGTTAGAGTTAAATTAGAAAAAAATAGTTAACCTGAAATTAAAAAACAAACCATAAACTTATAATCATGAACATTGAAAAATATTTATAAAATATTAATAATGTTTATATGATAAAATATTAAATTAAAGTACATAAAATAGAAGAGAATAAAAGAAAGTACAAGAAAATAAAATCACATAAATTGAAATATTAAAAAATAAAATTACATAAGTAGTGGTCAATGGTTAACAGATGATAAAAGAGATGAACATTTTTTTCCTATTATGGTCTAGGTTTTTGCATTGCCCACATCTTTTGTTTTCTTTTGGTGTCTATTAAATCTGGTATAATTGTAAGTCAAGTCTGAATCTTATTTGGATCTTTTTCATTACATATGGGGGAATTCAAATTCATATACCTTGAATACTTGTGAAAGTTGATATATGGGATTAACATAACTTTTATAGTCTAAATGGGAATGTGAACAAGCTGTTATGACATGGGATCATGGATACTTCAGAGTTTGAAAAATTCATCAGTCAGACCACCTTTCTTTTATATTAACTCTGAGAGAGTTAGATTCAATACCTTGAAGAGGTCGTGATATTTCTATGACACGAAATAATTCATGGATGCGAGAATTTTTTTTACCAACATTCCATTTGATGTTGTAACTTTTTTCTGTAGATCTGCTAATAATCTTGGGTGATAAACATGACCATTTTGCATCCATGTAAGAGCTTGTCCCTCGAGTTTGACAAAAAGCTTACAAAAAAAAAAGTCCTTTTAGCCAAAGTAGTTCCTGGTAAATGACATGCCCCCTTCATGGTCGAATTGATAGCCTCAGCTAAGTTGGTTGTCATATGTCCATATCGATATCCTCCATCATATGCATTTGTCCACATTTTTTGTTGATGGCTCTGATGTAATTGTATCCTTCCTAATTTTTTCCTTGCAACTCGTGAATCATAAACTCAAACATTTGAGGTAAGAGTTCGTAACCTAAGCCATATGTACTACTTAGTGTGATCCATAAATAGATAAAATGAAAATGATTGAGAAACGAATTGAGAAAAATAACAAACCCATGCGAATAATTAATTGTGTTCATCATTCTTCTTATATTTTCCATGATAGTTTGTAACAATGTGTTTGATACAGAGACGATGCTGGATTTGTGGGGGTTTCCACATTGGACCCAAAGAGTCCATTGCTGCTTTGATCCTATCTCCTTGGTCTGAAATGATGCAAATGTGTTCCCTGGTGATAACATGTAGCCATAGATTTTTCAAGAAAAAAGCCTAAGACTCTGTAACTTCTCCTTCAACAGGGGTAAAAACAACGAGAAGAATGTTGCGATTACCATCTTGGACAACTTCCAATAATAAAACTTGCTTGTATTTTCCATACAAGAATGTTCCATCAATTTGAACCACGAGTTTGCAGTATTTCACCGCATTAATGCACTGTGGGTAAGTTTCAAAAACACGGTAGAATTGACATCGATCTCGAAGCACTCATTCATTCTCGTATGCATGATGAATTTCAAACTCAATTATTGTCTTAGGATTCAGTCTTTCCATTACTTTAAACCAACTAAGTAGCTCATTGTAAGATGAATTTCACCCGCCGTGTAGTTTTATAATGACATTTTGTTTTGCCTTCCATACTTTTCTATAGGAGACGGTGTACCACTATTGAGATTGTATAGCAAAAATGAGCACTACAATAGCTATGTGAGAGTTTGCTTTGACCATGGACATAATGGCTTGGCAAATAATGTTGGAGTTCAAATTTGGATGGTCCTGGTTAATCCCCTTGCATAACATAGATGCTCATTTTGTCCAAGGTCTTTTTTCGAGCTTATTTAAATAAAATTTTTTGTTAGTTCATTTTCAATAATGTTAATAACGTCTATTAGATATAAATGGCAAAAATCTTCAGATAATTCATTGAAAAAATAATTTCTTCAAATATTATTGTCGAAGAATTATTTGTTGAAATGGGGTGATTACTACAGTAATCTGTTTGGTCGCCAGGTGATCCAAACAACCTATGCAGGTCGCCATGCAAGCCGAACGACCTGTGCAGGTCGCCATGCAAGCCATGCGAATCCGGGAACCCATTAGTGCTTAAAAGTTGTTGCCCTCGACTCCCTGCAGCACTGTTCCATACAAGCTGAATACGTTATGCAATTCCTTGAAGACTCCATAATTTCTATGCGTCTTCAGCATTTGCACAGCTAAAAAGTTATTGCCCTCGACTCCCTGCGGCACTGTTCCATGCACAGCTAAAATAGTGCTGCCCTTGACTCCCTTAAACATTGCTCTATGCACACCTAAAGCATGGAGTCTTAATTTTTGAACACCTTAAAGTCGCATAGAAATCTTGGAGATTTCCACAAGTTGCGTCACTTACAATGCATCTTCAATAATTACTGTTCAAAACACCCCATCGTGAGAAATAAAATTTGGGGTGGACTACTTGGGGAATTGTTTTTTCCAAAAGCCTTATCGTGGTTGTTTTGCCGATATAAATACCTAGGTTAGGATCTTATTACATATGAATATTAGATGTATAAATATATTATTATATGTAGGTATATTTGTATCATATATGTGTATAGATACTTGTGGACATTAGATTTTGTTTGGATCTATAGTTTATTAATATTAGTATTTATAATGACTTAGGATTATTTCTATGCCTATAGTTTTTAATTTTAATAGTTTATATAAGTTCGTTAGCTACCATTATTATGGACATGTGTATCTTGTAATTATTGATTAACTATGGTTTTTTATTTCTTTTGTATTTTTATTATAAGTTTAGTATTATTCTTGCTTGTTTTTATAATGACGTTAGTACATATTTATTTTTGGTGTCGTTATTATGTTTACTATTAGGGTATTATTATGGTATTATGGTGATACTAGTATTACTATGATTTTTTTATATAGCCTTTGGTTGTTATTTAAAATTTCATTATAATATTAAATTTTTAATATCTTACGTTTTTAATTTCAGAGGTGTTACAAATTACAAAACAGACCCGAGTCTGTTAAAGTCCAACAACTAAGGAAGCTTACATGACCCAATATTACGAGGGCCCAACCAACAGGCCTAACAGTGAAAAACCCTAACGACCCATGTTTACTAAGGTTGCTGGAAACCCTAGAAAGCCATGTTCAGCCACCGCCAGTAACGCCAGTAATCACACCTGAAGTCAGCTGCCGTCGTCACTGCCGTTTGCCCTAGTTGATCCGGCAGTAGTGTTAATTGCTGACAAGAGGTTAACTACCACCACTGTTTCATAACAGTAACAACTCCAATCAAATCAAGAAAAAGAAAAAGAAAAAGAAAAGTAGAGAACAATATGACTCCACTTACCCCACGTTGGAGGGGGATTGTCCCAGGTTAATATAATTTTAATATACAGTTTTACCGAATATATTAAAAGATATTTAATAAATTTGGTTTAGCGCTATCAAAAATGTTGAGTAATAATAATGTAGTAGGTCTAAATCATGAAGAAATATAAAAAAATTGACAACCGACAAACTTAGGTTGTCGGTTTATGTCGATACTTTATAAAAATATATCGATCCACATCAATATAACAGGAAAAAATATGACAAAACCGGTCACGAAAAGACAAAACCGGTAAAGCGCTACCAGATATATTGCACGTGTCGATACTTTAATATAAGTATCGACACATTGTGACTTTAAAGGAGAAGCAATTTTAGCGCCTATAAAGTGTCGATTCTTTATAAATATGTATCGATCTACAATGATATAACAGGTAAAAATATGACAAAATCGGTCAGGAAAAGACAAAACCGGTAAAGAGATACCAGATATATTGCAAGTGTCGATACTTTAATATAAATATCGACACATTGTGAATTTAAAGGAGAAACAGTTTTAGCGCCTATAAAGTGTCGATTCTTTATAAATATGTATCGATCTACAACGATATAACATGTAAAAAAATGACAAAACCGATCAGGAAAAGACAAAACCGGTAAAGAGATACCAGATATATTGCAAGTGTCGATACTTTAATATAAGTATCGACACATTGTGAATTTAAAGGAGAAACAGTTTCAGCGCTATAAAGTGTCGATTCTTTATAAATATGTATCGATCCACAACGATATAACATGTAAAAATTTCCCTCGTGTTCCTTCAAACGCTCCCCAATATTCTGCAGCTTCGAGTGGTGGGCTTCCTATGTCATTACCTCAACCTCGACCCATGGGTGTTCAAATGATGCAATCTATTCGTCCACCACCACCTCCAATGCAAATGGCGCCTGGCCAACCACACATGATGATGAATCGACCAACCCAAATGCCTCCATCAATGTCCATGAATGCTCCTGTGCCCCCTCCTCCGGGTTCTCAGTTTACCCCTGTGTCAGTTCCTAGACCCTTTGCCCCTCTTACCGTCCCACCACCTGCCATGCCTATGATGCAGCCACCACCACTGTTGCCCCAAGGAATGCCTCCACCGCCACCACCCACAGAAGCTCCTCCACCACTTCCTGATGAACCCGAGCCAAAGAAACAGAAGCTTGATGATTTCATGCTTGTTCCTGAAGATCAGTTCCTTGCTCAACATCCGGTACGAGGATCCCTTGCCCTAATTCCAAAGTACTTTTATTTACTTGTTTCATTGTACCTCTAACAACTGTTGATTGGGATCTCTTTTAGGGACCTGCTCGTATTACTGTATCAGTACCAAACCTCGATGAAGGGAATCTCAAAGGACAACTTCTGGAGATCACGGTGCAGGCCTTATCCGAAACGGTTAGCAGTTTGAAGGAGAAAATTTCAGGGGAGATCCAGCTTCCTTCGAACAAACAGAAACTCAGTGGAAAAGCTGGGTTCCTGAAGGACAATATGACCCTTGCATATTACAACATTGGAGCAGGAGAAACACTGGCTCTTTCATTAAGGGAGCGTGGTGGGAGGAAAAGATGAGAGGTTTCGAACCAGGCGATTTTAAGGTTTGTGTTTGAATTTGGAAACTATTGTGGGAATCTTTTGGTGATTACATTTGCATTGGTTGGGTCATGCATTATCACGAATTTATGTTTAGTATAGGATTTTGCTAAAGATCAGGTGATGTTATCTGTTATTTTTGTTTTGAAGGATTTTACAATAGATTCTTTTTCTCTCCTTAAAGCTAAACTTAAGCTCCCATTGGTTATACTGCTAGTTAAAAAAATGTTCAGTTATATATTTTGGAGATATAAGTCAGTAATTTTGATGATGTGTAATTATGCTCGTGGTAACTGTACTCTCTACATTTAAGATTTAGTTCCTCTACTCGTAATTCTGGGAATTAAGTCCCTCTACACCTATTATTTTGTTTAATAATTGAAGTTCAATCAATAACCCCATTAAAGGACTTCCATTATTTTGGATTATGTGACATTTTAAAATAAAATATTTGTTCATGTGGATAATTTAAAGCACATCCCATATTAAGAAAAGAAAAACTTAAATCTCACATTCAACGTTTTTATTTGCTTATTTGACCTCCAATGCATGACACAGAGGCCGCACGAGTTAAACTATTTTTTTTTTAAAATGTCACATAATCAATTTTAATGGAAGTCCTTTGACGGGTGTTACCAATTGGATTTCAATTATTAAATCAAAATAGGGACTAAATTCCTTAGATTAAAAGTTGGGGTATTTAAAGTCAAATGTGTGAGCAGTACTCTGAGTGAAAGCAACGGGAGGCTGGTTCGCATAGATTAATCAGTGTTCTGCTCCTTGCAAAACAGTTGAATTTGAATCATATGGTTATGAGCTTGATGCTGTCTCTATTACTAGTTTTATGAAAAGTTCTCATTCAAAGAAGAGGTTATCAAATTCCTTATTTTCGATTGCAGGACAATGTTGAACCTCTTCAAGATGACTCGGATTATCGATACTCTCCATGTGCCTTAGGTAGAAGGAGTGATTTTAACATGTATGGAAATTTTGATTTTAGTTGTGTAATGGTGTCAACTTGGATTGTAGTTCTTAATTTGTTTTTATTCAACCTCTTGTTTTGGTGAATGCTATATTATTCCTACTCCTAATTTCTCTTTGATGGAACTTTCCTTTGTTACCAAAAAAAGCATAATTAAATCCTATTTTATGATTGAATCTTTTGAGGGAAAATAAAAAGGAAAGGCCAAGAATTTGGTGAACAAGAAGAAACCAGTTATTTTGTTTTTACAGGAGACAAAATTGTCGAATTTTAAACTGTCAGTGGTGAGAAGGTTATCGGGGAACCTTTTGAATGGGCTTCAAAGAGTCAGTTTGAGTGTGTCTTCATAAATGTTTACGGACCAGCAATTGATTCTGAGAAGGGGGCGTTTTTTTGATGACTTATTGTCTTTTGTATGAGGCAGAATCTTCCTCTGTGCCTAGGTGGTGATTTTAACGCTTATTTATCACCAGAGAAAAGTGGGGTATCTCAGAATAGACACAGCATGAATTTACTCAGAACCTTCATCCAACAAGTCGAACTCGTTGATTTGCCACTAACAGGGGACGATTCACGTGGTGCAACAACAGAGAAAGGCCTACGCTTGTAAGATTAGATCGGTTCCTGGCAAGTGACGTCTTTTTGGAGGGCTTTCCAAATTTGGCGCAAAATTTGCTTCAGCGGTCTTTGTCGGACCATAATGCAATTGAGTTAGCAAATGAAGATTTTGATTGGGGACCAAAGCCATTCAGATCTTTTAACTACCTGTTGGAAGATGAAGGGTTCGTGAAAATGGTGGATTCGGAAATCATCCGACTGTCAAAGAAGAACAATAGAAGTGGTATCTTAAGCATGCTTAGAGACACCAAAAAAGAAATTAAGAAGTGGTCTGGCAGCAAGATGTCAAAATTATCAGAGGATATTCGAATCCTAGAAAAGAAGGAAGAACCTGTTCAGAAAACAAAATATGAAAGCAAGGTTTAATCCGTTTTAGTGGGGAGAGGAAAAATGAATTCTGTTCCTACATTTTATGTTTTATACTAGACCCGAAGACCCATTTGGACCACTTGGATCCGCGCCTAGAAAATGGGTAGGGTGAATGTCCTCTCTTGTGTCCTTTTCATGTGATCACACTTTTTTTTTTTAAAACGTACCATACTTTTCCTTAATTTATTTTGATTTTGTTTCTTTTATACATATTTAATTTTTTTCCATAATATACATTTTTGGCCCATTATTAATTCCTAAAATTATTTTTATCTCCTTGATCTTTGATTTGAGTTTTGTATTTTAAATTAAACTTTCCTTTTAATTTCAAACTATTTTAAATTTATTTTGTTTTAAAAAATATCCCTCGATTCCATAAATCTGAGAGGCCACTTCTTTTCATTTTGTTTCCTTTTTAAAGTAAATTCGTCTTGAAGGTTACTAATTTATTCTAGCCGGCTATTTATTTGATTTTGATTTGACTCTTTTGTTCCTTAATATGCGCGAGTTGCACTTTTTTCCCATGTTTGTACTTTCTTTTTCTATTTTCTTCTACTTTGTTTCATTTTATTTGTTTAGTACCTTGACATTTTAGGCAATTTTATAAAAAAAATAACCCAAAAATTAAAAAACAAAATACAACAACACCCTTTATCGAATATATACCAAATTAGTCCCATCCTGACAAGAAAGGTGGAGGAGGCTTAGGTGGACAGAAAGTGTGTCCCTTGGTGTGCGCTTTCCAGGAAAAATGTTGACATGGAAAACACGTGTTAGACATGTTTCATAGGGAGAGCCTTTCAAATAAAAATCACTCGATTTTAAGGTTAGGATGGATGAGCGGGTTAGGTTTTATTAGGTTAAGTGGTTTAGGGTTAGAGTTAAATTAGAAAAAAATAGTTAACCTGAAATTAAAAAACAAACCATAAACTTATAATCATGAACATTGAAAAATATTTATAAAATATTAATAATGTTTATATGATAAAATATTAAATTAAAGTACATAAAATAGAAGAGAATAAAAGAAAGTACAAGAAAATAAAATCACATAAATTGAAATATTAAAAAATAAAATTACATAAGTAGTGGTCAATGGTTAACAGATGATAAAGAGATGAACATTTTTTTCCTATTATGGTCTAGGTTTTTGCATTGCCCACATCTTTTGTTTTCTTTTGGTGTCTATTAAATCTGGTATAATTGTAAGTCAAGTCTGAATCTTATTTGGATCTTTTTCATTACATATGGGGGAATTCAAATTCATATACCTTGAATACTTGTGAAAGTTGATATATGGGATTAACATAACTTTTATAGTCTAAATGGGAATGTGAACAAGCTGCTATGACATGGGATCATGGATACTTCAGAGTTTGAAAAATTCATCAGTCAGACCACCTTTCTTTTATATTAACTCTGAGAGAGTTAGATTCAATACCTTGAAGAGGTCGTGATATTTCTATGACACGAAATAATTCATGGATGCGAGAATTTTTTTACCAACATTCCATTTGATGTTGTAACTTTTTTCTGTAGATCTGCTAATAATCTTGGGTGATAAACATGACCATTTTGCATCCATGTAAGAGCTTGTCCCTCGAGTTTGACAAAAATCTTACAAAAAAAAAAAGTCCTTTTAGCCAAAGTAGTTCCTGGTAAATGACATGCCCCTTCATGGTCGAATTGATAGCCTCAGCTAAGTTGGTTGTCATATGTCCATATCGATATCCTCCATCATATGCATTGTCCACATTTTTTGTTGATGGCTCTGATGTAATTGTATCCTTCCTAATTTTTCCTTGCAACTCGTGAATCATAAACTCAAACATTTGAGGTAAGAGTTCGTAACCTAAGCCATATGTACTACTTAGTGTGATCCATAAATAGATAAAATGAAATGATTGAGAAACGAATTGAGAAAAATAACAAACCCATGCGAATAATTAATTGTGTTCATCATTCTTCTTATATTTTCCATGATAGTTTGTAACAATGTGTTTGATACAGAGACGATGCTGGATTTGTGGGGGTTTCCACATTGGACCCAAAGAGTCCATTGCTGCTTTGATCCTATCTCCTTGGTCTGAAATGATGCAAATGTGTTCCCTGGTGATAACATGTAGCCATAGATTTTTCAAGAAAAAAGCCTAAGACTCTGTAACTTCTCCTTCAACAGGGGTAAAAACAACGAGAAGAATGTTGCGATTACCATCTTGGACAACTTCCAATAATAAAACTTGCTTGTATTTTCCATACAAGAATGTTCCATCAATTTGAACCACGAGTTTGCAGTATTTCACCGCATTAATGCACTGTGGGTAAGTTTCAAAAACACGGTAGAATTGACATCGATCTCGAAGCACTCATTCATTCTCGTATGCATGATGAATTTCAAACTCAATTATTGTCTTAGGATTCAGTCTTTCCATTACTTTAAACCAACTAAGTAGCTCATTGTAAGATGAATTTCACCCGCCGTGTAGTTTTATAATGACATTTTGTTTTGCCTTCCATACTTTTCTATAGGAGACGGTGTACCACTATTGAGATTGTATAGCAAAAATGAGCACTACAATAGCTATGTGAGAGTTTGCTTTGACCATGGACATAATGGCTTGGCAAATAATGTTGGAGTTCAAATTTGGATGGTCCTGGTTAATCCCCTTGCATAACATAGATGCTCATTTTGTCCAAGGTCTTTTTTCGAGCTTATTTAAATAAAATTATTTTTTGTTAGTTCATTTTCAATAATGTTAATAACGTCTATTAGATATAAATGGCAAAAATCTTCAGATAATTCATTGAAAAAATAATTTCTTCAAATATTATTGTCGAAGAATTATTTGTTGAAATGGGGTGATTACTACAGTAATCTGTTTGGTCGCCAGGTGATCCAAACAACCTATGCAGGTCGCCATGCAAGCCGAACGACCTGTGCAGGTCGCCATGCAAGCCATGCGAATCCGGGAACCCATTAGTGCTTAAAAGTTGTTGCCCTCGACTCCCTGCAGCACTGTTCCATACAAGCTGAATACGTTATGCAATTCCTTGAAGACTCCATAATTTCTATGCGTCTTCAGCATTTGCACAGCTAAAAAGTTATTGCCCTCGACTCCCTGCGGCACTGTTCCATGCACAGCTAAAATAGTGCTGCCCTTGACTCCCTTAAACATTGCTCTATGCACACCTAAAGCATGGAGTCTTAATTTTTGAACACCTTAAAGTCGCATAGAAATCTTGGAGATTTCCACAAGTTGCGTCACTTACAATGCATCTTCAATAATTACTGTTCAAAACACCCCATCGTGAGAAATAAAATTTGGGGTGGACTACTTGGGGAATTGTTTTTTCCAAAAGCCTTATCGTGGTTGTTTTGCCGATATAAATACCTAGGTTAGGATCTTATTACATGAATATTAGATGTATAAATATATTATTATATGTAGGTATATTTGTATCATATATGTGTATAGATACTTGTGGACATTAGATTTTGTTTGGATCTATAGTTTATTAATATTAGTATTTATAATGACTTAGGATTATTTCTATGCCTATAGTTTTTAATTTTAATAGTTTATATAAGTTCGCTACCATTATTATGGACATGTGTATCTTGTAATTATTGATTAACTATGGTTTTTTATTTCTTTTGTATTTTATTATAAGTTTAGTATTATTCTTGCTTGTTTTTATAATGACGTTAGTACATATTTATTTTTGGTGTCGTTATTATGTTTACTATTAGGGTATTATTATGGTATTATGGTGATACTAGTATTACTATGATTTTTTATATAGCCTTTGGTTGTTATTTAAAATTTCATTATAATATTAAATTTTTAATATCTTACGTTTTTAATTTCAGAGGTGTTACAAATTACAAAACAGACCCGAGTCTGTTAAAGTCCAACAACTAAGGAAGCTTACATGACCCAATATTACGAGGGCCCAACCAACAGGCCTAACAGTGAAAAACCCTAACGACCCATGTTTACTAAGGTTGCTGGAAACCCTAGAAAGCCATGTTCAGCCACCGCCAGTAACGCCAGTAATCACACCTGAAGTCAGCTGCCGTCGTCACTGCC